TCCTTCTGGGTACATCTACAGTTGTGGCCAAAATTATTCAACCCCCACTGAAATTGAGTGTTTTGGCCAGTTTGACATTGCTTTTGATCATTCAGTCATCTTGCTTACATTTACATTAAAGAGGCACTTGTAGGTCAGACAAATATAACATAACAGTTATAATGAAATAACCACAAATGTCTTTTCTGTGCTCACAGCATTATCAGTTTTATTCAACCCCCAAGTGACATTCAATCTTAGTACTTAGTACAGCATCCTTTTACAGTTATAACAGCTTTTAAACGTGAAGCATAGCTTGACACAAGTGTCTTGCAGCGATCTACGGGTATCTTCGCCCATTCTTCATGGGCAAAGGCCTCCAGTTCAGTCACATTCTTAGGCTTGCGCACTGCAACTGCTTTCTTTAAGTCCCACCAGAGGTTCTCAATCGGATTTAAGTCTGGTGACTGCGATGGCCACTCCAAAATGTTCCAGCCTTTCCTCTGCAACCATGCTCTAGTGGACTTGGAGGTATGCTTGGGATCATTGTCCTGTTGAAAGGTCCAACGTCTCCCAAGCCTCAGGTGTGTGACGGACTGCATCACGTTTCCATCCAATATCTCCTGGTACTGAAGAGAATTCATGGTACCTTGCACACGCTGAAGCTTCCCTGTACCTGCAGAAGCAAAACAGCCCCAAAGCATGATTGACCCTCCACCATGCTTCACAGTAGGCAAGGTGTTCTTTTCATCATAGGCCTTGTTCTTCCTCCTCCAAACATAGCGTTGATCCATGGGCCCAAACAGTTCTAATTTTGTTTCATCAGTCCACAGAACACTATCCCACAACTTTTGTGGTTTGTCCACATGGCTTTTGGCATACTGCAGTCGACTCTTCTTATTCTTTGGAGACAGCAAGGGGGTACGCCTGGGAGTTCTGGCACGGAGGCCTTCATTACGCAGTGTGCGTCTTATTGTCTGGGCTGAAACTTCTGTACCCACATCTGACAAATCTTTTCTCAGTTCCTCAGCAGTCACACGGGGACTTCTCTCCACTCTACGCTTCAGGTAGCGCACAGCAGTCGAAGTCAGCATCTTCTTTCTGCCACGACCAGGTAGCGTTTCAACAGTGCCCTTTGCCTTGAATTTGCGAATGATGCTTCCTAAGGTGTCTCTTGGTATGTTTAACATCTTTGCAATCTTCTTATAGCCATTGCCCTTCCTGTGAAGAGAAATCACCTCTTCTCTTGTCTTCCTGGACCATTCTCTTGCCTTCACCATGTTTGTAACCACACCAGTAAATGTCTAGAAGGAGCTGAGTATCACAGTCATTTTAAAGCTGCCTAATTGGTGCTTATTATGCTTGATTGCTGCTCGGTGACATCCACAGGTGTTTTCAATACCTGATGGAAAGCACCTGTATGAACCTCTGTTCTTCAGAGTGGTAGTCTTTAAGGGGTTGAATAATTGTGGCAATGAAGAAACCACATAAGAACCATTTACTACTGTATTACATAAACAATTGATGTCATTTTAGTTGCATTTGGGTAGTTACAACGTCCTTGTAGGATTTGATTCTGAATACAATTCCAAATGTACACTATAGTCCCTAAACCCCTTTACAGCATTGGGGGTTGAATAATTTTGGCCACAACTGTAGGGCCAGATTTAGGCCTTGGGGTTGGTTTACATTCTCAATGATAGTCACACATTTTTAAAAGTACATGACACAACGCCATTATGAGGCCATTCATGCACAAACTACACGCAGTCATAACGCTCTGTGTGTGGTTCACGTAAACTGCCAAAATGTGTTTTTAAAAATGATACAATATATCGGTCCAGAGTAAAAATATACAGATGATGGCTGGAAAAATATAACTTCTCAAAAATAAGTGTGTTTTTTTTAGTTTTTTTTCATGTTATAATATTTTATTATTTATATTTTTTGTATGGAGGGGGACCCCTTCTTTCAGGGGTCCCAGGGCAGTTGACCCTTTTGCCCTCTTATAAATCCACACTGCAGTGACAGTGGTCTACCACTCCAGGATTGTTTGAGCTAGCACAGTTGGTATAACTGTTCCGCTCACTGCTGGACATGTGGGAAAACAGGGCATGTTCGTCATCCTTGTCCAACTATGTTGCGATAATATGCCTGACATGGGTAGCACGGTAGAGGGATTGGGAAAAAGGGAAAGATCTTGAATCATGTTGGAAAATCTCTGTGAACATTAGCAAGCACTTACTTGCCTGAGCTTGTTTAGGTCCAAGTTAACCACTTTTCTTGAGCATTGGTATTTCTAGCTATGGTGGCTAGTCTCTATATCATTTGCTGATCTCAAACTGGTATACATGTCCCATTATATTTAAATTGCTGTTCATTATTTTCAAATTCAAGGTTGAAAATGAGATGACCATTCTAACAATCTGTGAATTCATGCGAAGTCACCACTAAACTTTCTAGTTAAAAATTAGATACTCTCAACTTTGTTTCCACCTCTGTGGTCATTAAGACATTAAGGGAATATTTATTATGCCATCTTTTTATGTCCCAAGCTACAAGCTTTCTGGGCAAAAGTGTGCAGCTTTATTGAATCAGTTTTAGGCCTTACAAATGTAAAATGTCCCAAGGCTTGTCTACTAGAGCTGGTTGAGCAACTTCCTCCTAATGTAAATATCAAAAAACCTTAAAAGCACATGTAAACTCTCGCCTTGTAAAACAACCCATTTAGTTAAAACCTGAAATGAAAGGCAAAACATTTGTGTGTGTGTGTGTACTGTATGTATGTATACTGTATATATCATTATAAATACACTTTTTTTTTTAATAAGTGATCACATAAACTCTGTTCTCAGCTGCATAACAGGCTTGAAGAGGTGGGGTGGAGAAACAGTAGTACACTGATCTCTCCAGCAAATAGCTGTGTGTATGTGTGTGTGTGTGTGTGTGGGGGGGTGTCAGCACAAGTCTTAGCCATTGGAGGACAGGCAGGCTGTGCTCCCAGCTCAACCTAAAAAACTGACCACACTGAGATGGATGTGCTTCTATGCCTAGCATGGTTATTTTGAAATAGGAAAGCAGGGAGATTGGCAGGATCACCAGGTATTTCACAGAAAGGAAGCAAAATAAAGAAAACAGAATTCTTTTAAACTTTGTAAGTACATAGTACAAGAGACACATATCGGGAATATCAAATGCTGGGATAACATATTCTTTAAGGACAGTATAAAAAAAACATAATTTGAATTATCTGGAAAAGACCCCTCTCTCAAACTCTGTTGGAGTGGAGGAAGTGATTGAATTTCTTGGATTTGATCCACTCTTAACACCTAACCTCAATACAGTTCTCAGGAAACCACATTTTCCAATCTTTTGCTCTCTTCACATACTGTATACCACCACTGTACATGAACTACATGTACTTGTGAGTAGGGTGCAGTGTGGTGTGTCAGTGAGCAGTGATCACACAGAAGTTGAGTTGAATAAGAACTATAGTATAATAGAAAGTTCCAAACAAGCTACAACTAGGCTCCAGTGGTAGGCACAGCCGTCGGGAGCCATTTATGAAACTGTAGCAACAGTGGTCTGTTGACTTGGGATGATGCCGACAGTGTCTGCAATGAGGAGCGGGAATGTGGCCTGGCTGGTCAACACCCAAAGGGGAGGTTTCCTGAAGCAGAGGATAGGCGCAGTCCCTGCACTGTCCCTACTCCTCCAGAACAACTCCCTCACTCTAAACACCTTCCCTGACAGATGGGGAACCTGTCCCTATACTAACCACTCGCAAACTGCATGGCAAATCAGGGAGCCAGTGTCTTGAATAATAACTGCTGTCACCAAAGTAGGCCGCAGAAGTCAAGCAGGTCACCAACGTCCAATTGGACAGCTGTTCCCTGATGACAGCAGGGAGTACAGACTGCATTTGTCTACATACTGTTGACACTTGTATGGACATGAGACTGTACCAGTCCTTTATGTTTTGTGAGGAAGGTTGTATGTTTTTGCAGCTGTATTGTATTACACTCCTCACTTTATTAGGTACAGTTGTACTAGTACTGGGTTGGACCCCCTTTTGCCTTCAGAACTGCCTTAATTCTTCATGGCATAGATTCAACAAGGTGTTGGAAACATTCCTCAGAGATTTTGGTTCATATTGACATGAGTTACTGTTGCCTTTCTATTATCTCAAACCAATCTGCCCATTCTCCTCTGACATCAACAAGGCATTTTCATCTACACATCTGCCGCTCACTAGATATTTTCTCTTTTTCGGACCATTCTCTGTAAACCCTAGAGATGGTTGTGTGTGAAAATCTCAGTAGATCAGCAATTTTTGACATACTCAGACCAGCCCATCTGGCACCAACAACCATGCCACGTTTAAAGTCGCTTATATCCCCTTTCTTCCCCATTCTGATGCAACTTATCCTCACCACGTCTAGATGCCTAAATGCATTCAGTTGCTGCCATGTGATTGGCTGATTATCAATTTGTGTTGCCAAGCAATTGAGCAGGTGTACCTAATAAAATGGCCAGTGAGAGTATATTACAAGTTTAAAAGCAACAAACAGTCTCTTTAAAAAAATTGTTGTTATAGGAAGCAGTAGCATTACCCATTGCTCCCTAATAAGGTTTTTCATAAATCCATCCTAGCATATGCTCCTATACCTAGCAGTAAGACAGTCCTGTCTGTAGAGTTTGCATTGAAAGTGGGGCTGTCAGTGAATATGGGCTGAACAGCTCCGTTCACCTCTGTTTATACCCTACCTGGAGGAGCATGCACTGCCTGGGTGGTTTATTCCAGACTTCGTTTCTTGTACAAGGATGCTGATTGCACTGTCTGACATACATACAAGGGTAGAGGAAAATCTGTTTATGAAAGGTAAAATATGAACATGCAAATCCAAAAATGTTTTTGGTTTGAAAGAAGAATATCCAATGAATTAATGAAGAACACGTTGTCTGTATCTTTTAATAGAAAAGTTTTGCTTACATCAACAGCTTTCTTTTTCTTTCCTTAGGTTTGGCAAATCCCAGATTACACACCAGTGCGGTCAATAACAGAGCCCATTGTGACACTGGAAGGTCACTCAAAGAGAGTAGGCATTATCACATGGCACCCATCAGCCCGCAATGTGCTTCTCAGTGCAGGTACAGTAATACAAATGTCCTCCTTTAAGAATAATCGACAAGCTTCTTGTGATAGTCAATCTGGCTTTGCCTCCAACCCTCCGCTGGATACATAAATTAATTTATCAGCAAATGTTGGGAAAAGAATGTGCTGGGAATTTATTTTTTTTGCTGGCTAAAGGATTCTCACAGCTGCAGGATATAAACTAATATACTGTATAGGTCTGTAGCTAGAAATGCTATCATAAATGTTTAACAGACCTGGTATAAATTCAAGCTACATCCCAAAGCTGTACCATCATGGAGGCCACAGTAATTGGCAACATGTTTTGGGGATTTTTTTTGTTTGTTTTTTGGTATTGCAAATCAGATGCTTGTAAAGTTTACAAATCTGATCAATTGTGTTCTTTTTTTAGGTAGCGATAACTTTATTATTATCTGGAACGTGGGGACCGGTGAGGCTGTTATTACTTTAGATGAGATGCACAGTGACCTCATCTATAGTGTCTGCTGGAACTACAATGGGAGTCTCATCACCACCACCTGCAAGGATAAAAAACTTCGAGTTATTGATCCACGGAAACAAGAAATAGTGGCTGTAAGTAACAATCCACTTTACATTCTTCTTTACATACTGCACACTTAGAAAGGGATCAGTGTTTACTTCTTAATAATCTGCAATACATGTAAGCATTTTTAACCCAAAGCATAATTTTATCAAAGTCCTTAAACTTACAGAAACATAAACTTCTAATTCTGGCAGTATACGGTCTGCTCAGTTGTTTCAGGTTGGTGACTTGGCAGCTATGCTATCTGCCAGAGAAAGAGCACTTGTGAGCTGGATTGGGCTTATTGAGCGCTGCTCCTTAGCAGACATGTAGTTACTAGCGGGGACGGACTGACAACTCATGGGGCCCCCAATAGGGGATCATGGGGCCCCTGTGTCCTTGCCCAAACTCAAAAAAGCCTATGAAAAAGGTACGAGGGGCATCTCATGGGGCCCCCTACTGACCCCGGGCTCTCAGGCAGTGCCCGAGTTTCCAAATGGTCAGTCCGCCCCTGGTTGGAGGTCACTTGGCATTGCCATTGTCATAAATTCAATGCTTCTCTCGGCAAAATTAAATTTGTTTCTCCATTCAGACATTCATATTGTCCCCGGGCCCTCAGGCAGTGCCCGAGTTTCCAAAATGGTCAGTCCGCCCCTGGTTAGTAGTTACTAAATAGTGAATTTGTACTATGTTAAATTCAAAGTCTTAGTGTATATATAAAGTAAAACTCTGCTGAATATTCTTTGTCAGTTGGTTTGGCACTACTTGTGAACATTAGACACACATAGTACAATAGCTTTTAGATGTACCAATAACTGTATAATGTGAAGGCCTGCCTGATCAACTATAAATTAGTTGGATTGTTTAGAATCCAACTTTAGAATCAGGTCCCTTCTCCAATGCTGCTCAACCCTTACCCTGCTTGGAACATCCTCTACACCCAACAAAAAATTATATACCTACCTACCGGGTAATCATTTATCTGGTCCAATAATGATACAGGTCCTCTTCATCCTCTTTTTTATCCTTTGGTGGGTGAATCCTTAATGCTACACGGGGCTGCACTATGTATAACAAAGTGCCTCTATGCAGCATTCCTCCTTTGAATCTAGGGGGGAAAAGCCTTGATTTGCTGAGCTCACAGGCAGTGGGTTGAATGACATCATTTAATCTGGAAGACAAGTGGTGCCACGCTGCTGGATGGGTAAGGCTGCAGGGGACAGCACTGGAGATCAGGTGAATCTAGCAGAAGGAGCTTTTTTAACATAGAACTATAGACAAAACTTAAAAAAAAAATTTTGGATAGAGCAAGGTAGGGTTAAAACCTTTGCCAGTTTTTTTTCTGCCATCTGTGTCCCATTGTGGAAATTTACCTTCACTTGCTGTCCCATAGCCACAACAGGAAGTGAGAAAATCTCTGAAAAATAAGGGAATTTCTTGGGGACCCCCAGGTCTCCATTGGGAAATTTCCCCTCTGTTACTTTTCTGGGGACAGCCCAAAATTTGGGATTTTCTTTTACTTTCACTTTCGATAATAATGGTAAACAGGACAAATGGAGAGGGGGAATCTTCCTAACTGGGTAGACACACAGCAATAAAAATCTAACAGGTGTTCTAATCTATCTCCACTCTATCCAAAACTAAAAAAAAAGTTTTGCCTTTAGTTATACTTTAGGCCTGCATTGAGGGAGCCATTTTGTTCCTGTATATGCCAAACCTCATTGCATAGCAAATCTATAGAAGATTGTTTAATAGGTTTGTAACGTGTAATCAGCATTAACATGATCCAAAGGCCAAACTATTGGTTTTCATTTCGATATCAGATAGAAACTAGCTGTAAATATAACAACTCCTGTAGGTTCAGTTAAACATTGAATTCATTTCTTGTTTGCATATGATATATGTATATTTTATTATACAGCTCTGATGCATAGGGCCTTGACAGGGCATACATTGTTTTATGAACTGAATTATGTCTTTTGCTCAGATTGGAGTGACTGTTGTTTATCTGCTTTCCTGATATAGTGTTTTTATACTTTATTATCTGTAACTGTATCTTTGATCTATGTCTGTATAATGAGTACATCAATAAGATGCATGATTTGCATGTGTTTGTATGTAGTGACTAGGATAGACTAATTAATGTTTCATTGATTTATGTGATTCTTTAAGATAACATTTAAGAGGATATAGATTTGTCTATTTGTGTACATACAAGAAACATATACACCTTGCTCCTTTGCTGAACAGCACACTTTCAATGTCATTACTCATACTTTGGTTAGTTGTATGCCCACAATATAACCAATGGAATGCTTGATTACCAGATATACTTGTTAATTAAGGATGATCTGCCCTGAGTTAGGTTCGGCAAGGGTTTGCTGAACTTCAAAGAAATTTGGATGATAAACTCGAAACCCCACTGATGTCAATGGGAGCCAAATCTGTCAATTTTAAATTTTTTCATTTTCTGTGCTAATGGGCAAGGCTTGTAAAAAAAATAGCATTGGGGTAGGCACTGCCCTGAGGAACATGCACCAATGAAAAAAAAAACCCCTAAAAATTCCATGCAGCCAGAACACATTTTACAAAGGAAAAAAGCATTTTAAATTGCAGCCAAATTACATCTCCCTCCTGACTTATTTTTTTTTTAAAGAAAAAACAGCACACAATTTCCAAAAGTCCCCCCAATGGCCTGTTATGTATTGATTTGGAGTTTTGTAAAGTTCTGTGAGCTATTTTCTTTCCTAAAGAAACCGGCAATGTAGTTTTCTTTGCCAGCAAAACTGTCATTTTTTTTTTTCTTTGTAAAGCCTCATGTACGCAGGGCTTTATTTGTAACTCTCCTAGAAGCCAGCAGCGTTTTTGTAGAAAAAAATGCCTGAAGCTTGTAAAAATCTTTTACAAGCATTTAGGCGCATCTACAGGCGTCAAGTGCTTAGGCCTTAATTCATTGTATTGGCTAGAATAAAAAATGTATTCTGGCAGTTGAAATGAATTGACGCTCAAGTGCTAAATGCGTCTAGCGTTAGGGCGTGTTCAGATGTGTTTACAGGCGTAAAGTTGTTTTTTTGCCCAAACTCTGCTGCTCGTGGACGCACTGGCAGAGGGTTTTTTCTCCTGCCTTTAAACTCTCCTACCACTAAACGCTGCTGAAAGTCTATGTGTGCATGGGCACATAGGCTAACATGGATGGGTGTTGAGAGGAAGGAAAATAAACACCAGATGCTCCTAGGAGCAGCTGCAAAAACATCCAGTATGCATGAGGCCTAAATGTCATTTTAGCACATCCTACAGTAAGAATGATAAAACATTTGTATAGATTATCTATCACCCAAAATGTGTACCAAACCTTTTCAGTCTGGTATGGATTTCAAGGGGGTTTCCTGGCTGGCACTGGAAAGTGGTGGACAAGAATGTGGCCTTCCCCTCCTGAACCATACCAGGACATATTCCCTCAACATTGGGGTTTTCAAAGCACCTTACCTCTTGCCCAGTGGTTGTGGAGGTCTGCAGGAGGGGGGCCTATTGGAACCTAGGAGCCCCCTTTAATTTTAAGGGAGCCCCCAAATACCACCCCCTGTATGATTGAGCATGGGTTACATTGTACCCCTAATAATTAACAAAAAAAAAAAAAAAAACTACACACCAAAGAATCACTAGATGAATGACGGCTCCCAGAGCTGCCATTGGCTACATACATTAAGGGGCAGTGATGTGGACATATTTAGGCAATGACGTAAGACTCCTTTCTCCATCCATTTGCTTGCATTGCTAGGTATTCCTGGTCATGTAAGTCAATGAGCTGAGTGACACCAGTGGTTGGTTAGGCTCACTCCTGAGCTGGGCTGTGTGCGCCTATAGACACACACTGTATGTCTCTGCTAGCCCCTCACTCTCTGCTCATTGAATTTAACTGACCGAAGCAGGAACCAATAGCTTCTACTGCTGCCCTCGTCCCTGTGAGAAGAAGAAGAGAGGGAAGATAAGACCTGAAGCTGGAACAACGCTTGATCATTGACAGTGTGGGGGGGGAGGTGGGTGAGGTAGGGAAATAAGTGTTTAACTTAATGCATTCCCTGCATTAAGGTTAAAACACCCAGGCTTTAGAACCACTTTAAAGTTCATCTTTACTTGCCTACAGTCCACAGTCTACAATGCTCTAAGAGCTTTTCACTGATGCAGGCTTGTTTTAGGGTATATGATGCCATTATAAAACCTCATCAAACCCTGGCTCCTTAATTCCCTCTCAGGGCTTAGATGTGCTAACAGACCTTTTGTAATTTCCCTGGTTTCCCAGGAGCATTGCTTTAAATTTATAGATGAGATTACTGACATACACCCAGATATAACAAGGAAAGTTCTGTTTCAGCCTGGTATATTCACATGTAAACCTAGTTGATACATTATGTGATGTAGTATGTTGCTAATGCTAATGTAGTATGTTGCTAATGCTAATGTTGCGTGTGAAAAAGTAAGTACACCTCATGGATATTGTTGACTTATTCGATATATTTGAAAAGGAACATTAAATCTTTGCTCAAAACAGTACCTACGGATTAGAGTAATATACTTATGGAAATTAATACCCTTGGCATCATAAGCTGGCATTGCCCTGTTTGGAAGTAACAAATTCTTGTAGGGGTTTTCCATAACTGTCCACCAGTCACTGTCATCAACTCTGCTTCAGATTTTGGACAGGTGGCCTTACATTCCTTTCAATCACATTTTGATATGGTGCAGAATTCATAAATGACTAATGACTGCAGGCTGCCCAGGTCATGAAGCAGTATATCAACCCATCCATGCTTCACAGTTTGTATGAGGTGGTTCTTTTGAAATGCTGTCTTCAGTTTGCACCAAGCATGTCTTCCACATTCTTGATTCATTAGACCTCCACACTTTGTCGTAGAGGACCTGGTCTTTGTTTATACACTCACAAGCCACTTCATTAGGTACACCTTTCTAATCCCAGGTTGGACCCCCTTTTGCCTTCAGAACTGCCTTAATTCTCCATGGCATAGATTCAACAAGGTGTTGGAGACATTCCTCAGAGATTTTGGGCTATATTGACATGAGTTACTGTTGCCTTTCTATCATCCTGAACCAGTCTGCCCATTCTCCTCTGACATCAACAAGGCATTTTCGCCCACACAATTGCTGTTCGCTGGATATTTTCTCTTTTTTTAACTACTCTCTGCAAACCCTAGAGATTGTTGTGCATAAAAATCTCAGTAGATCAGCAATTTTTTAAATGCTCAGACCAGCCTGTCTGGCACCAATAACCATGCCATGTTCAAAGTCACTTAATCCCTTGGTGCCTGCCCTTTAAGGGGTTTGTGATGGTGGGAGACGGGGTTTAGGTTCATATGACTGGTGTGATTGGCTGTCACAGTGGTCACATGATCGGATAGTCCTGATTGCAAGTAGTGATCGGGACCTTTCCGTGAGGCTCCGGGAGTGTGCAGGGAGCATGCTCTCGCTTATTTGCATACTGTCAGCGTGAACAGGTTAAATCCCCTTTCTTCCCCATTATGAAGCTCGGTTTGAATTTCAGCAAGTCATCTTCACCACGTTTAGATGCCTAAATGCTGCCATGTGATTGGCTGATTAGCAATTTGCCATGTGATTGGCTGATTAGCAATTTGTGTTCCCAATCAATTGAACAGGTGTACCTATTAAAATAAAGTGGCCGGTGAGTGTATATTCAATAGCAATCTGTTGCCTTGGTCTAATATTCTTTTTATAGGGCAAATCCGGCACACCTCCCATGCAGGTCCAATTGACATAATCTTTCTTATTGTAGATGCATGTATTTTGACGCTAACTGTTGCCATAGTTACCTGCAGATCACAAGAATATTTTCTTTACAGTGGAATGATTCATTTCAAATAATTTGGTAATCATTTTTAATCCCCTGACAGACTCATAAGTATCCTACACTTTCTTTCTGTGAGTTCTTATGATCTAGATATGATGACACCAAACATAGCAATAGCGAAAAGAATACAACTCTAGAGATCTGAGGTATAAATTAAACAGCTCAGATTCTAATTTCTTGGATTTAAAGTGGTGGTAAATGTAGGGGTATGTTTACCTCTTCCATGTGACAAATCTGCATTTTCAATAATTTAGATAAGGAGAATGTATACACCATGTCCATTTTATGTGCCATTTGGTCAAGTATTTCACCTTTATCTGTAGGCATTGTTTGACTGCATATCTAGCATTTGCATTATTTTAAACACATATGATGAAAAAGTCTACATTTCCATGGAATGAACGTTTGCACATGACTGTATTCCTATATCAAGTGAAGAAAAAGATTAAACTTCTCAGTGTGTCACTAAATAACTAAGTGTCTAATGTAATTTGTTTGTTAGTGTGACACTAAATAAATGCATGTTTGTGTTTTCAATTTGCTGTGGTGAACTTAACCTGCTAACCAACAACTAGGAAAAAAGTGGGCCACATGAAGGGGCTCGACCAGTCAAAGCCATTTTTACATCTGACGGCAAAATATTCACAGCCACCGGTTTCAGCAGGATGAGTGAGCGGCAGCTGGCGCTGTGGGATCCGGTATGAGAAGGTGTTCTGCATGTTTATTTACTTTACCTATAAATGTCTTTACCTATACTGACTTTCTGAAGTCTGCAGTCATACCAAGGTGACCGCAAATGTGATGATATAATGAGCTTCTTTTCAATTAATAGTTAAATGCAGCTCTTTATTACCAATATTGGAATTAAACTCTGACATCTGTGTGCTAAAAAAAACATTTGGGATAAAGCTGACCTCCAGTTTGCCACAGCCAGTATGGTGAAAAGCATACTCTTGGGACGCTTTTTAGAAAGATGAACAGCTCAACCAAACTATAGAAAAAGAGATGTCCACAATACTAACACCTGTATGATTTTCTTTTATTACTTTACCCCCATGCAGTTAAACATATAGGAAAATGTGACATTAGGAAAGAACCCTTCCTATAGACTCTGTTTCATTAGCTGCTGAATACTTTAACAGAGTTAATACAATATATATACTATATGATCCTCCTGCGCTCAGCTGTACCTCTGAATGAAGCTGCTAACACCCTACCACATACCAAAATGGACAATAGTACAATAACATGATGTGGTGCTGCGCTTATATATACAACATACCAGATACAATACAATACAATAGTGTGATTTTAGGGGATTATTAGCTCAGTGGTAGTAGCAGTTTTAGTGGGATGCTACCTGCTCAAACTTCTTTTTAGGGCTTGTTGGTCTACTATTATTAAACCCGAAAGTAAAAATTCAACAGGAAACTAGCGCACAAAGGGATTTTCATCATCAAAATGAGTAATACAAAAATAATGCCAAGCCACCTGACTCCTGACTCCCTCTTCAGCAGCATTGCTCCTCTTTTCACTGGTCTCTCAGACATCTCACCCATATCTCCTGGCTTTCTAGCCACCTCAACCCTCTCAGCCCAATGAACATGGAATCTCTCCTCCAGCATGCAGTGCTGTCTCTTGAGTGGGGCACAATGAGTCCACACCTGTCCCCTGATGGGAAGACACCCATCTCCTAGATGGATCACACATCTCTCTCCTGAAAGATGAAAGAGGTCTGTGCGCACCTAGACACACACCCTGCTAGTCTTCTGCAAGAGCTGAACACTGGGTTGGAGATTTCTTCCCTCCCAAAGCATTTTGAAATCTTCAAACTTTAGAGCCCATTTCAGGAATACCAAAACACAGATAAAGCTGTAAAAACCGTTTTTTTCTCCACTCAAAACTGATATTCCAGAGTCCCACACTTTGTATTCATGCAAACCCTATGTTCTTAGTACACCCATTTTCACAGTGGCGGGGCCTTTCACTCTCACAATAGTCATAGATTACTGGCAGCCAACCAAGTGGTACACCTAATCACATGATAAAAATAGATACGTACTACAGGCTACTTTTAAGGTTGCTACTGCATATTGTCAGTTTGAAATGAATTGAAGAATAGTAACTATGCAATTTGCAAACAATGGTCAGAACATTTTGGCAGAGATGTCAGCAGTTTCTGGGTTCTTGACAAATCTCTGAAGCTCTTCATCCAGGGTCACCTTGGAAACTATAGCTGCAGAGGATTAGGAGTCAGTAACACACTGTCTTGTGCCTCCTGCCAGGACAGTGAGCCTTTGTATCTAAAAACATGTTATGACCAGTATGTTTTCCACCTTACCTCTCCCCCTCACCTTCACAGGAGAAATGTGCCCCCCATGAGGGGATGAGACCTATGCGTGCCATTTTTACCAGAGATGGAAATATCTTTACAACTGGCTTTACACGGATGAGTCAGAGAGAACTGGGCTTATGGGACCCGGTAATGACCGCCACAATGATAAGTCCAAGGAATTTGATTGCTGTTGTCACTGTTTCCAAAGCATAAGGCCAAGATTGTATCCCTTTTCTGTCCATTTGTTAGAGCAATTATAAAACTTTGGTTATTGCATCTATATTGTCAGCACTAGTAGCACCTATGTTATTTCCTGGGGGCCCATTCTTAATTATAGGAAACAATTAATGCTGGCAAGAGTAGAAGATGGTTTTCTATGAACAAATACGTAATATTTCAAAATCCATTTGTCCTAGTTACCCTATGCATACAGTCAAAGTTTGCTGTTATTCATGTGTCATGCTAATAGGTGCTATGTACTGTACATAACCACTGCCTTTGTTCTAGTCTTTATTATTAAACATGTGGCTTTTAGTTTGCTAGACTATTATAGATATTTTAAAGTAATCACAGTTGGGGAGATGCCAGTTTTTCTCCACAAACTTCTATGAGTGAATACATCGTAGAATGTGCCAAGTTGTACAGTATCTTGCCAATTATGAAAAGTGTAAACCCTACACCATGAGCCACACCTGACCTGTTTTCTCATAATGATTTATGCTCTACTTTGTTGCCCCGTGTACCAATTGAGCTACCCAACAATTTTCTATTTTCTTCTGTAAGATCCTAATCTACTTTACATCACACTTGCATTTGGTAATTATGATTACCCAGTATATAGAAAGTAATGTTGCAGAATCTGTGAGTGGTGTATATTTCTACTAGAGGCTCCATTTCTGCATGGATATTAGAACTTCCAACATGGTCCTTATGTTTACAGTGGCTAATAGCAGTGCAAATCCAGGGCTCAGAATGCAGTGTGTCAGCATGGCATATGCAGATATCTCTGGCCATGCTGCAGAGCATGATGGGTATGTCCAAGTTAACAAAGTAACAGCTGAAGACGTTTGTGGCGTATTCTAACTAACATTTTGATTTTCTACTGATAAGAAAAAAATAAAAATTGATTTTCATTGGAAAATAATATTCTCTACCATGGAGCACAAAATGCCTTATACATTGGTAATGTTTATTGATGTATGTAATCACATGTATTTATTGCAATGATTGTGGTTAGGGTAAAAACAGGGTATCCAACCCCAAATGTATCTTGTTGCAAGCATATTACATACAAAACTACAGACAGCTCAATATTTTTATAGATACATCACTGTAGCATCACTGCCCTGAATATAATGATTGTATGATCTAAAAAAAACAGCCATCTATTATTAATGATATAACATGTACATATGGTGTATAAGAATGCTGGGACAAGTAGACATCACAATATAGAGAGCCGTGTAAACTATAAAAAGCTCTTTGCTTGGCAGGCCACTTCCAAATTCATATACAGTTATTTATCAAGTCTAGATGTGATATAAACACTTTTTTTAAATGACATTCAAATGCAGGACAGAACATCATTTTTTGGACTTAAGTAAGGTTGCCTTACATGTGAAATGGAATTAAATGAAGTTTTTAAATGTTGCCTGTAATGACCAGTGAGATTTCCACTTGTTTTAATTTTGGATAGGGTGGGGAAGTTTGAAACCCTGTCTGTTTTTTTTTTTTTTACCATTGAGTAGATATCCTTCACCTCCTGTCCTTAAGGCACAATTGGAATTGAGAGAAAATCTCCCCATAGTAAGGGAAATGCCATCTTAGATGTCACCGAAAGTGTTCCCATTGGAAGATTTTCCCAAATTTCACTTGTGGTGACTACTCAAAATCTTCCTCCCTTTAAGTCCCTATGATAGTGCTTACCAGGACAAATAGAGAATACAAATCTCCTAATAGCCTATTACAATTGTATATTTGTATAACCCATAGATCTTATTTGCCACAGAGTAGTATTGTTATATCTGAAAATCTTTATAATTAATCTGTATACATAATGACTTTACTCTGATTCCATGCACATAGTCATGGGTTATATTGTGTATGTTCTTTACTTTTTTGTTAAACAGACAAAATTAAAATGAAACAGTCATTGAAGTTATTTTTGTATTCGATTGAAATGCAAACAGACCTTGGTGATGTTTTTTATATTAAATATGATATCCGACTGCTTGCTGTGGGCAACACATTTAATCTTATTCTCTGAGGTTCTCACATAAAAGGCTCGCTCATCTTTATGTATTTTTGCATCAATAGAATGTTATCACAGAGTCATCGAAAAACATTTATTACTTTGTTTAAAATCTCTTTACATCTAATGGTTTGACATAACCAAAGGGAAAGCAAAGGCACTCAGTAGTCAGAAACAATCATAGTCCAATACATCCAGTATACTAAAGTGATATAGCATGTCAATCCGGCAACATTTACCGGTGGGCACCTAACTATAAGCAAAGGCTAAGAGGTGGCCTTATTTACATATCATCACAATATGGTAAGGCAAATTAGGACCAGTATAAGAAGAAAGGTTGACCCTAATGTGGAGTATTACTGCATTATGGAAAAGAAATGAAAACCATTGATAAATGGTGGCTCACCATTCCCTATAACCTATGCTCTGAAAAAGAATGTAGAAGAGCTTCATCAATAATGCATCAGTCTCACAGCTGTATTTGATTCCGAGAGGCCAAAGTACCCTGTAAGACCATAAACGGATATCTGCACGAGGTAGAGCATGTTCATGTTTTGGTAAAAATTCTAAAAGTAAAATTCCTCTTAAAGGACAGTACTAAATGTGTAAGTAATGACTTCAGTCTTGAATTTAGTGCCCACTCGTGGCCAGCTGAACATTAGAAATCACACTTGTAGACATGGTCTACCTTCCCTTCTATGTCATCAATGACCCATTTTAGCTCTCTTTCCCTTCATAAGAATGGTCTTTTAAGTGCAAAGCTTTCACAGTTGTGAGGTTTTTTTAAATTAAGTAATAAAGTTTGATGCTCCTATGTGTTTGTTGTTTTACAATGACGTCAGATATTTCATATACTGTGCAGACATACATAAGCCAATATGTATTTGCATTTTTACTCCTTTTGCTCTTTTCATTGAACTATTTACATCTCCCAATGGAGATGTTTTGCTGGCAACATGCCATGTGCTGGTCATTGCTGAATATATCATTGATGTAACTTTTAAATATGCAACTGTGTAAGGAAATAAGAATGCGGTGACTCAGCCACACAACCATGTCACTGAAATAAAAATAAGTTGTTTTAATTTAGTTCTAAATATTTTTTTTTTATCCTGCAGCTCATTTTACTAGTTTTCCTACATTTTCTTGTAATATAAACTCTGTAGACAAAAGCAATAAAGAAAAAAAACTTAAAGATGATGCCCAGCATAAAATCATTGGAGTAACATAAAAGTTTATAGGAACACAAACCTGTGAAGAGATATTCAATTCGTTCTGAGTCTAATTATTAATCTATAATAGATTACCAACTAAAATGGTTCGGTTCCCCTGGTTTTCTCTCTGACCTAATAGTCAAATAATACTGTAAAATGCAGACTTATTGTACCCATGCTGCTAAAGTATATCTAAAGCCATAACTTTGTTTTTTTTTTTTTTCTTCATTCTGGATTGAGTGGTGGTTAAACCCCAGTCAGACGCTTTTTTTTTTTTTTTTTTTGTCTTTTGTGTCCCACTGGGAAGGCCTCCATTCACCTTCTCTTCCGTAGAGGAAATCTCTTCAGGCAGACACTTTTCACTGGAACAGATTCTGCCTTTGGAAGACTTTCTCTCACTTTCTGTTCCAGAGAAAATTCATATTGTGGCTTTTCCCTTACTTATAGTTCTAGTGACAATGACCACACAAACAAATATAGAGAGGAATCTCTTCTTTGGGACAAAGCCAGCAATAGAAATCTCCAAGAGGTTCTAACCACCCCCTACTCTGTCCAAAACCTAAGAAAAGTTTTTACTTTAGATTTGCTTCAACTATTTTTTTTAACAAAGGAATGTTTGTTTGTTAATGATTGGTGTCATAAATTGAAGTGCAGCATGCAACTAATCAGACAGCTAAAAGGGCTTTCCTTGAAATTTTTTAATTCATATCTGCCCTGTCTAATATCCATAGAGTAACTTTGAAGAGCCTATAGCTTTACAAGAAATGGATACCAGTAATGGTGTACTGCTCCCTTTCTACGATCCTGACTCCAATGTAGTTTACCTCTGTGGCAAGGTAAATTTCTTGTTTGTTTTTCATTTCAGTAGTAATCCTTATATAAAATGTGTATTGTATTTTAAGCATGTCATTTACCTGTAAAAGCCTCCCTTATGTAGACATCGAGCTGCTCTGTCAGTGAAATTAAGAATAAATTGATTTAGCAGGCGAAAAGTGTCAACAACATCAATATTATAGCAATAACCTATGTGTGCAAATATATTGCCTACACTATATTTTGGGGTTCATTTACTAAAACTGAAGTATGCAAAATATGGTGCAGCTGTGCATGGTAGCCAATCAGCTTCTAAATTCAGTTTGTTCAATTAAGCTTTGACAAAAAAAAAATGGAAGATGATTTGAAAGAGCTGCACCAGATTTTGCTATGTCCAGTTTTAGTAAATCAACTCCTTTGTCTAGGTGCTAAACAGAAATACTGTATATAAACTGATTAATAGATCAATTGGCTCCTATCTAGACTGGCCCTTGTATGTATGAATGTGAGTTAGCGACCTTAAGTTGCACACTCCTTGAGGGTTAGGGATTGATGTGATTATACAATATATATGTAAAGTGCTGCGTAAATTGATGGCGATATAGAAGTACTTGAAATTAATAAATAAATTAGTCTGCAGAGGACTATACAGTCTTAGACATTTGTGCAATTTCATTTGATGTCTAGATCCTGCTTTATGTATTTCTCAGTTCTCAAAATTAATTTCTAAAATACATCACGTGCTTGTGGTAGAATATTTGCTACTTTTAGCTGTATGTTTTTGAAAATAGATCTACAGGATTTATTATTTCCATTGTTTCAGGGTGATAGCAGCATTCGATACTTTGAAATAACAACTGAAGCTCCTTATGTTCATTACTTGAGTACTTTCAGCAGTAAGGAACCTCAGAGAGGAATGGGTTTCATGCCCAAGAGAGGCCTGGATGTCAGTAAATGTGAAATTGCAAGGTAAGCTGCAAGGGGTCTAGATAGTTGAAGATTGGCAATGACAAGGATGTTTGGTCTTATTGGTGTGTGTGTGTGTGTGTGTGTACGTATGTATGTATGTATGTATATATATATATATATATATATATATATGTATATATGTGTGTGTGTGTGTGTGTATATATATATATATATATATATATATATATATATATATATATTGTATGTATGTGTGTATATATATATATATATATATGTAGGCAGGTTGCCTACATTAGATAGTGGCTGGCCCAAGTTGGGGAAATGGTTAATAATTCTTTCTGTGCTATTTTCTTGGGCTTTCTGGGCCCAGCCTTCCTCCCCTATGGCCTATTGATTATTTCAGCTACAGAGGGGGACTGCTGAGCCTTGCAGTCCACCCCAAGATACCAGATTCCAGAAGACCGCCACACTATGAACACTGCTAGGAATGGACTTTATCCTATTGAGGTATGCCTGGGCAGCCAACTAATAGTTTGTCAGAAGGACTGCATACACTTTATTTTGTATTGATGCAGACGTTTCAGTAAAGCTCTTGAACTGTTCTACAACTTGGTCTGAAGTTACTTAAAAAGGGGTGCATGTTGGTTCATGGTGAATAAAAGTACACATAGGATATGAAGCAAGGCCACTACTGACAGTCAACTCAGCAACACATGCGCGAGGAAGAATGCCATCACAACGGGTAAACAGAGATAGTTCAAAGTGTACAATAGCCAGTCATTACGTGGCACCTGGTGTGAGTGAGGGATCCTCTGGTAGCGAGGGAGTGCTGATCCCCTCCATTAGCGGTCGGCTCCCTGAGTCCGGGACCGAACATAAATTATGGACATCTTTAAACTAGCTGCATGGTACAGCAGAGCATAAAGAGTTAATGAAGAACACTTCTCAGGGCCACACAGGTGCTTGACAAAACCCCATTCTGTCACTGGGCGTGAGGTGACAGAGGTACGCTGACTGGGGAAGTGGGCATAGGCGCCGCAAAGTCCCTCTAATTGTGACAATCAACAACAAGGTTTGCAAGGGCACGAGACAATACATTCATAGAGGGACTTTGTACATTTATTACTGCACACAGTGTATGGCTCATTTCTAAGTTAGAAAGCTGCCAATAGGTTGATTTCACCTGAATGTGGCCCTGCCTGGCCCCCGGGCATGGATGAACATGATCGCACATGCAAAGGTACTCCATGTGTACAGACACGGGCAATACTCCAGACCCTCACAAGTTGACCATATAAAGAGAAAAATAAAATCTAATTATGTGCAAACCTAAAAACCTTTTTTTCTATTTACTAAAGCAACCTAAGTACATTTTTGTTTTTAGGTGGTATAGTAAAGCTGTGCAATAAGTTCTCCCATTTTTATTTGTTCTGTTACCCATTCCCTAATTGATGGATGAGTGGGCAATCCCCAGTGCCCAAGGATCAGAGCGCTAGATGCTGCCAGACAAAATTTAAGCTATCCTTAATGGGCCTTGGACATAAGGGCTGGTTTAAAGGAAGAAGTAGCAGTTTTATGCGACAATTTCTACATTTGATATACCTGAGAAGTCATGTCCAAGAAAGTTTGTATGGAAGCAAATGACCATCGAATATGTTCATCGATCCACCTAGAGTTCCACATAATTATTATTATTATACAGGATTTATACAGTATAGTTTCAACAGTTTGCACAGCGCTTTACAATATAAAAGGCAGACAGTATAATTAAAACACAGTTCAATACAGAAGGAATAGGAGAGCCCTGCTCATGGAGCTTACAATCTAAAGTATTCAGATTGCCAGCAGTGGTCAATGAGGGATGAAATGAATAGTTTTTATTTATCAATTAACAACCAACAAAGTGCATAAACAGAAAAAAAACTAACACTCCTCTGGTCCACATGAAGCTACAGTCTGCAAGTGTAGACTCTTCACATACTGTACAATACAAATATATTAACCTTGTATTGTACATATAGGAGGCTGGAGTGTGACTGTAACACAGCTGCGGTAGAGCGGTCATAGTGCTGGTGTCATAGAAGCCAGCTAGTGTCAGGAGTAAGGTAAAATATTTTCTTCTTAATCCTCTGCCCCTAGACTAAATAATCATTTTTTTTTTTCTTTACATGGAGTTGGGCTTTAAGGATTTTGCAGGCACATGCTCTGGTACCTCACCTACAATCATACTGAATAGGTGCTAATTATCAACAAGATAACATGTAGGTTAAAATACAATCCTTAAATCAAATAGACTTGGCTGTGAAGGAGGAATTAAACTGGGCGAGGAAAAGCTCTACTAAAAAGTTGAGTTCGCTGAGGACAAGTATATGACAGGCCAGTTGATTGGTACCCTAGATAGAGGGAAACTCAAGATGGAGGCAAAGTGGCACAGTTACTATTTGGTTAAGAGGAAGTAACAAGCATGTGGTGAAGAGAGGAAAGGACAGTCTCAAAGCAGTTTGGTATCAGAGTCTCAATAGCACAGCAAAGTTAGTGGCACATTGGAATAATTCCAGCATTTAAATTGTCACTTTGAAAAGGCTTATGTTACCAGAATAGTATCTGAGTAGAAGGGTGTCTGTTAACAATGTAAGTGGCACTTGGATGACTGTAGCACTACCCCCTTGAGAGCCACTGGTTTTTGGTCCCCCTGCACAGCCAGACAATATGTATTTCCCAACTTTCGCTCTAAGTCAGTAACCAGTCCATGGGTTTGTTTTTGTTTTTTTTATTTAGAGGTAAACAACTTGGATAGGGTATAGGAGTATATGGGATGCCCAACTTGACTTAAAACCAATGCTCTGAGAACAAATTTCCTAAATTCTGTGCAAAAATGTAGGATCCTGGACTTTCTACTGCCTTCGGAGTGGCATCAGTCTCTTCACAGATCGGTAACAGTCTCTGTGGGGAGAATTTGGTCCACTCTGAGTAAATGTCTTCAGACCCCAGCTAGAAAATGCCTATCCACCTGGCTGTATTTGAAGAGTATCCCGTAGAAAGAAATTCCAGAACAGACCTATAGCCCAGTCCCATGGAGAACTGGTTGGGTATAGCATCTAGCTGCCCTCTCTCCTGTAGGTCTCGGGAATGTAGAGGTACTTTCACTGTCCTTGTGTTCTGTAGTTTTGGATAAAGTGCTTTTAGGCTTCTGTTGGGCTGGTTTCCTTCCAGGCTAACAAGCTGTCTTTCCTCAATGGACTGCAGGGCATTGGAGCTCCCTCTGTTAGCTTCCTTCTCTCATCCTTCCGACCTTCAGCCTGGAGACGGGACCTCCCTCCCCAGGGTCTCCTCCCAGGCTACACAGCAGCACACCTCAGCACTTCATCTTCCACCTGACTCTCCTGCTGGCCATGCTCTCTCGTATTTATGGGTTGGTTTGCCACACTGGTAGGCTTCCTGCCTGGGATTGGTCAGACTCCCATGAATATGCAGATAAGCACCACTTGAACTCCACTCACTGGCTTTTAGAAACTTCTCCAAGTTTCCAGAACCATGGGGAGGTACCAGAGGTTTGACATGTAGAGCCCTTCAGCCTGACCTGGAAAACTTGCGGACTCTCACCCAGGTTTCTAACAAGCCTCTAACTATGCTTACAAACTATGTACACAAGAGGGTGCTACAAGACTGATTGCAAGATCTTTGTCACAGCACTAAAGTACCAGGGATAGAGGATCCAGCAGTGGTATCCCTATTCTGTCCCTCCTTGTCAGGAGCTTCTCCCTAGGGCTACATACACTGTCCCTATCCATCGTGGATCCTGCCCCTACCCTATCCACTTCACAAATGCATACCAACTGCAGCAGGGCAGTGCTATTTATTAGCATTGCCCTCACTATAGATGGACACTGGGGTCAACCAGTGTTGCAGCATCCACTTGGATCACTGCTCTCCTGGTGACGCCTACAGAGTTGCAGAGGAACAATGTTCCTCTCTCCTCCTCTGTTCCCTCTGTACAGCTGTCAGCAACACAGTGCCACCTAAAGAGGGGAGGGTAAACTGCACCTGCCTACAAATCAATATAAAATAAGTTATGCAATGGCAAGAATGAACAAGGCAATAGGACCATGGTTGGTCTTTATTGCATCAACAAGGTCTCTCACAGATATATTTTTTATACAAGACATGTATTTCCAGATGTGCTGTTCAAAACACAGGCAACTTTGAGGACCAAAAATGCAGTGGTCAGCTAAGGAAACTGTGGAAAACACAGCAGTGAGTGAGACATCATGCTGACTTCCCTTCACAATCTGAACATGTCCAGTAACAACATCAGCCCACACTTGGCATAAACCAGTGAGACCTTGTATACCCATCTACTGTCCAAAAAAGTCTGGTGAGAAGTGTTTTTTTATCAATGACTTGTGGCTAACAATTTTACATCTCTGCTGCGAAAACAAGGCCAAGAGTCTGGCCTATGCATAAAACATAAGAACTTTTTTTGCAGAAAAATGGCAGCAGGTGATCTGCAATGATGAGCCCAAATTTGAAATATTTTGCTGTAACTGATGGCAATTTGCCAAAAACCTAAAGAATTATAGAAGAGTAAGTGTCTGCAGGCAACAGAGAAGAATGGTGGACATTGCTTTCAGGTTTTTAGATGCATTTCACATGTAGTCTGGATTTCGGCCAAATTATCCCTTCAATATGAAAAGTACTGGCATATTCTTATTCATTATGCAGTACCATCAGAGAGCGTGTGTGATTGGTACCAAATGTGTCCTTCAGAAGGACAATGATCCCAAACATGCAGCCAAAGTGATAAAGAACTATCTTCTTAAAAAAAAAAAAGAGTACTGGAAAAGGTAGCATAGCCAACGACTTGGCTCTTATTTCAACATCATTAAACCAGTCTGGGATTACAAGAGGAGACAGAACCAAATGAGACCACTTAAACCAGCAGAACTGTGGTTAGTTCACCTAGATGACTGGAAAAGCCTACCTGCCGAGTTCCTAGAAGAATTGATGCTGATTCTTTTTTTAGTCTTTATTTTGGATAAGGTGCATTAAGATAAGTACACGACCTTTATATACTATGCATTCCATATAGTTACCTTCAGCAGGTTGAGTTATATACAATACAAATATACAGGACACTTTGGGGTTGATTTACTAAAACAGGAGAATGTATAATCTGGTGTAGCCATGCAGGGTAGCTCCTAACTTCAGCTTTTTCAATTGGGCTTTGGCAAAAAAAAACCCAATAAACTGGAAGCTAATTGCTTTCTTTACACAGCTGCGCCAGATTTTGCACTCTCCAGTTTTAGTAAATCAACTCTTTAGTATATAGGTGGTCAGAGCATAAGTGGGAGTGGGCACCTGTCAAAATCAGGTACCCCCCCCCCCCCTTGAATTAAGGCAAAGGGTGGGCTCACCAAATATTGACTTTTTATATATATATATATATATATATATATATATATATATATATATATATACTGTATGTATGTATGTACTTTTATTTATTTGTAACTCACAAATTACTAAATTGCACAATTTTTTTTTAAGCAACCTTACTTAACAGCATTGTTGCACAAGTGTCCAAAACTTTAGCACAGCACTGCAGATAGATTAGATGAGTTAAAGTGGTTGTAAACCCAAAAAATCCTTTCACATGATTGGCTGCTCCTTTCTAGGCCAGACTATGGACAAATGACTTCTGCTGTTATGCTATGTGAGGTAGACTGGCCATTTAAATTTGTATTTTTTGGGGTTTTAAAACCACTTTAAGCTATTTGGACAGTTGGTACTATATTTAGCTAGGGATCATATTTTGGCAAATGATTGTGGTGACCTCTTGTGGACAGAAATTAATCTAGCAGATTACATGCTATGAAAAGTAAACCTTTTAAAAATGTAATCTATAAAATTATCCGAAATATTGGCATACTCTTTATATCCCTTTTTTAGTTTGCTACTGTTTTTAGATATACACTTGGCTGGATTACCCTGTTAAGGACCATCAGCCGTATTTTGAGCTTTCCTGATACTTCAACGACGTCCCCTATTTTACTTTTTTCTCGAGACTGATTCTGCCTTGACATCTGGGCTTTATGCAATATGCTCCCCTGGTTCCAAGTCTCCGGCTCAATACATACCACTTATAGTACCTAACATGTTTATGTTTTTTGGATACTACTCGAAGCTTTGAAAAAAAAATGTTCTGTCATGTGCCCCTCCTGCCTTCCCAGACACTGGCAAGGCAGATTCATGTGTGTATTATATATATTGATACTTCTATGAAAAAAATACATTCATAAATACATTCCTCACATCTGTGCAGTGCATGCATATTTCACTTTATTACTATAAAATGCTGCTAGTACATAAAAACACTGATTGAGCTGCCAGAAATCCAGTGTGTTTATAACTTCCTGTTTAAGCTGACAACACAGTTCTTTTGCTGCAGTGAAATCCCAACAGTGTTGTCAACCCTGTCCATTTCTCCTTTCTCAATACAGATCATTTAGTCGTTTTCTCATTTATAGAACGTATGTTGGAGGCAGGGGCGGACTAACAACTCATGGGGCCCCTGGGCAATAGGGGATCATGGGGCCCCTCTGTCCTTGCCCAAACTCAAAAAAGCCTATGAAAAAGGTACCAGGGTCATCTCTCATGGGGCCCCCTACTGACCCTGGCCCTCGGGCAGTGCCCGAGTTTCCAAATGGTCAGTCCGCCCCTGGTTGGAGGTCACTTGGCATTGCCATTGTCATAAATTCAATGCTTCTCTCTGCAAAATTTTAATTTGTTTGTCCATTCTGACATTCATATTGTCCGGTGTGTGTGTGTGTATAGTGGTGGCAGGAAGGAAGTATGTTGTATTCTCCTTGATAGTGATTAATTATTTCATGATATTAATACATATTGTACATGGTTTTTACAGGTTTTTCAAGCTGCATGAAAGGAAATGTGAGCCCATTGTTATGACAGTACCTAGAAAGGTGAGCTAAGTACCATCATAATCTTATCAGGCAATCATGAACTTCACTATTCTCCATTATCAGAACATTACACCTGAAAGAAAACCTCATATTTTTTCCCAACAGCCCCATCATGGGCCTTGAAAATTGTACTGATCCCTTAACACAATTGTCATACTATCTTGATGAAATTTGAAGATCGAATGCTCCTATAGACTGGAGGAGGCATTTTTTTATATTCATACCTGTTCAGCTATGAGGAAGAGCTGCCACACACATCCCATTTTTAAAATATTCTTTATTGTGTTTGGCCTGTGTGGTGCAGACTCAAATAAAACTTTATTCCCTTAAAGAGATACACTATATTGCCAAAAGTATTGGGCCTGCCCTCCAAATCATTGGGTTTAGGTGTTTCAATCACCTCCATTGCCACAGGTGTATAAAATGAAGCACCTAGGCATGCAGACTGCTTCTACAAACATTTGTGAAAGAATGGGTCGCTCTCAGGAGCTCAGTGAATTCAAGAGTGGTACCGTGATAAGTTGTCACCTGCGCAATAAGTCCATCCGTGAAATTTCCTTGCTACTAAATATTCCACAGTCAACTATCAGTGGTATTATAACAAAGTGGAAGCAACTAGGAACAACTGCGACACGTAAAATGACAGAGCAGGGTAGCCAACGGTCTGTACAATCAATAGCTAAAGACCTCCAAACTTGGTTTGGCCTTCAGATTAGCACAACAGTGTGTAGAGAGCTTCATGGAATGGGTTTCCATGGCCGAGCAGCTGCATCCAAGCCTTACATCACCAAGTGCAATGCAAAGCGTTGGATGCAGTGGTGTAAAGTACGCCGCCACTGGACTCTAGAGCAGTGGAGACGTGTTCTCTGGAGTGAAGGATCACACTTCTCTGTCTGGATAGACGTGTCCAGCTTTGGCGGTGGCCAGGAGAATGGTACTTGCCTAACTGCATTGTGCCAAGTGTAAAGTTTGGTGGACGGGGATTATGGTGTGGAGTTGTTTTTCAGGGGTTGGACTTGGCTCCTTAATTCCAGTGAAGGGAACTCTAAAGGTGTCAGCATACAAAGACATTTTGGACAATTTTCATGCTCCCAACTTTTTGATGGAACAGTTTGGGGATGGCCCCTTCCTGTTCCAACATGACTGCGCACCAGTGCACAAAGCAAGGTCCATAAAGACTGAGCGAGTTTGGGGTGGAGGAACATGACTGGCCTCCAGAGAGTCCTGACCTCAACCTGATAGAACACCTTTGGAATAAATTAGAGTGGAGACTGCAAGCCAGGCCTTCTCGTCCGACATCAGTGCTTGACCTCACAAATGCGCTTCTGGAAGAATGGTCAAACATTCCATAGACACACTCCTAAAGCTTGTGGACAGCCTTCCCAGAAGAGTTGAAGTTGTTATAGCTGCAAAGGGTGGGCCAACTCAATATTGAACCCTACGGACCGAGACTGGGATGCCATTAAAGTTCATGAGTGTAGGCAGGCGTCCTAATACTTTTGGCAATATAGTGTATGTTGTGAAATAAAATCAAAAGTAAATGTGACACTGCTAATCACTGGGTTGTAGGCCTTTTAGCAGTGTTGTTTGGTCCTCCTTTTGTGCAGAAGATGGAAAATGTACGTATACCAAGGACTGGGCAGTCTAATGAGGACATGTTTTGTATCTTATAGTCAGACCTTTTCCAGGATGATCTGTACCCAGACACACCAGGACCCGAGCCAGCATTGGAAGCAGATGATTGGTTTGCAGGACAGTCCGCTGACCCTTTATTGGTATCATTAAAAGATGGATATGCTCCAGTCAAAAACAGAGAGCTTAAAGTCACCAAGAAAAACATTCTGGACAACAAACCTCCAACTGGGCCACGTAGAAGCTACTCTTCCTGTGACTCTGGCTTTTCAGTAAGTTAGACTTCTATGTACAGTAGCTAAAGAGAGGCTGAAACACAGATATGGTGTTAACAGAGTGATCTCCATAATGAGCGGCATTTCTCCAGGCAGACAGATGTTCGACTCTTAGATTCCATGGCACAGTTCTTTCAACTTTATGCACTGTTCAATATGGGTAAGGCTCCATGCACACTAGCATTTTTTTAAGCTCAAAAAACTTTGGGGAAAATGCTGGATAAAAAATGCTGGTAATAGCATTTTTTAGTAGCATTCAGAAAAGTTTAGGAGTGTTTAGGAGCATTATTGTTTTATTAGCAATTTTTACAGTACATGTAGAGGAAAAAAAAAGCTAGAAAAAAAACATTTGGGAGCGTTTTAGTTTCATTTAGCAGTGCTTAGAAGTGTTGTGTTTTTTTTCTGCTGGAAAAACGTTCCAAAAAATGTTCTGCTCCTGGACGCTGAAGCTCAAAAAATGCTAATAGCCTAAAGTAGTGTCATGGACACATAGGATAACACCATTTAGCTTCTAGGAGTAAAAAAAAAAAAAATGCGGATAATAGCTTCTAGGAGCTTAAAAACACTAAAAACACTGATTTGGTGTCACTGACATCCCCAGTGACACCAATACAGTGATCACTGCTAAAAAAAAAAGAAAAAAGAAAAAAAGCTTACACTGTACTAATGGCACTGGGCAGGAAGGGGTTAACATAAGGGGCGATCAAAGGGTTAACTGTGTGCAGGGAGAGTTTTACTAGGGGGCGGTGTCTGTGTGCTTTCACTGTAAGCACACTGCTTTGGATGGCTGTGCTGTACACAGCCATCCAAAGCAGTATGCCTGAGCTGACAGGAAGGAGAAATGTTAGTAAACAAAACAGCTTTCCTCCCCATCAGAGATCCTCGGTAATCACCGAGCGCCAGCGAGTAATCACCGGCTGGGACCCAGTGATTTTGCGCACCTGTGGCACCCTGTAGCAGTATATCTGCTATAGGGCGGTCGGGAAGCGGTTAATGCAATTTGTGTTCCCTGATAGGCCAGCATTTTAATTAAAATAAACATATTGATACATTAGGAGTTGTCTTAAGTGCCTTCATTTGTACCCTTAGGATGGAGATCATAATAATGAATTGCTGAGAACTGAAAAAAAAATGATATTAGCTATATCAGCTATTTACTCTGAAAAAACATCTTATGCCATGGGTTTCAGTCCTTTTTTTTTTTTTTTTTTGCTTCATTCTCTTTGTGAATTTGAATAATTGGAATTTGTTATAATACATATATATTATTTTAGGTCTCCTTAAAAAAATTATGTAGGCATAAAATAAGGGATTTTGTATTAATTTTGTCCTGTAGTAAGGTTAAAAAAAAGGAGTTAATTGAGGTATATAGAAATATATGAATACTTTGGGATAAGAATAAAATTATGTATATATGGATTTATTGAGATGATATACAGCATTGTATGCTAGTCAGTACAACAGCGGATAGCTCTTTTCAGTGAGGTTGGAACTGAGCATGCCAAACTGTGTCTGGATAAGTGAAGATACATTATGGACTGGCTTGGTCCAGGAGTGGGTTTAGCTGGCTGACAGTGGATCTATGGATATTGCTAGCGTGTCCCTACAGGGGATCGCACAGAAGATCATGGACACATACCATGGCCGGACTGACCATTTGGAAACTCGGGCATTGCCCGAGGGCCCGGGGTCAGTAGGGGGCCCCATGAGATGCCCCTGGTACCTTTTTCATAGGCTTTTTTGAGTTTGGGCAAGGGACACCGGGGCCCCATGATCCCCTATTGCCCGGGGGCCCCATGAGTTGTCAGTCCGCCCCTGACACATACACTAAATGATACTCAGTGGAATTGGAGTTGGAATCAAGAGTTAGGTTGTAATTAGGCTACAGGAATATAATATCTTCGAAATATACCAAAATAAAACAATAAGGCCACCACTAGTGCAGATATTTGGTGGCAAAGCATCTGTTAGATCTAATAAGATACAATCCTGTGCACATAAGAGTCACTCATGGTTGGAGACATGCTGCTTTAGGTTTGTAATACATTGTTTTAATTTGTAACAATAAAACATTATTTTAACATGTTGTTTAGTGAGAGTATGGCTGATAAAAGTACTTTGTAGCCAAATCATTTTGTAAATCTCCCTGTGATGTAGCATTCACTACAAGATTGTTAAAACAGGTTTTGTGTGGTATTAATTCCAGAACATTGGTGTTCCCACCCGCAGAAAGTTTTTATCTTTGCAGCATGTGGAGTGGGGAAGGTTAAGAAATAGGAGAATCTAGAAAGGAGAATTCTTTCTCCCCACTTACTATGACACTTTTTTAGACTTTTTCAGAAAAACACTGGTGACTCCTGTTGCATGGTGCTTCTTTCTAATGACCAATGCTAGCAATGATCAATTCATCGATATGTGGGAACACCAATGGATAAGTATTTAGAAACCGGGTGGTTCAAATTCAATCATTTTATATCAAGATCCATGCCAACACTTTTTGGGTGATTCAGAGACCTTCTTCAAAGCTTTGAAGTTTGAAATACAGCAGGAAGCTTTGTGTCTCCTGTACTGTCAGTGTGTGGAAGCTTACAGTATGTTGGTAATCTTTCAGCTGGGATTCTACATGTCTTCTACAAAATATACATGCAACAAAGCAGAATTATTGAGAAGCAGGAAAGATTTTTAGAGAATGATTTATTGTGCTGTGTCAGTACCATGTTAGGTTATTTTTTTTTTTTGGGGGGGGGGGGGGGGTCTGAAAAACAAGAGCTGTTTAGGCAGTATAAAAGTCTCTCAGTAATGTTTTAATGTTTATTATTTTTATTCCCCAGCGAATCACTCTTGAAGACCTACTTGAAGAAATTAAGTGCTTACGAAGCATTGTTGAGTCTCAAGAGAAGCGCATCTCAAACCTGGAAAACCAATTGCATGTACTGTCCAATGGCACTGACTGAGCCGGACTGAGATTCCACCATCCGACCCAGAATGCACTTCAAGAGTTACATACCCTATTTCCTAGCAAGCAAATCCAATTATGTTTTACCAGAGGGGATGGAGCCAGTGCATGGACTCCTCAAGAACTGCCCCAGTTCATGCTCTTCATTGTTAGAGGAGTCTCTCAGAAGAGGCCCTCTTCCCGGGGAAATGTTATTTCTGAGGGACTGGGGAAAAAGACTGTTTTATTCCAAAGTGCTAAAGGAATCTTCCATCTGCATTCACACAGAGAGCTCTGTCATCAGGCTGCTTTGACTGACGATTGGGAGATTTGGCAGCCTGGCATTACAGCTAATGCCTTTAGTTTGCAAAAGTTTGTAAATTGTTACAGTGGGACAAAGTACTTCCAGCCAATAAGAAGCACATGGGAGTCTCTCTGTTGTTGTATTGCTATTTTATTTCTGGCTTTTATGATTTTTCCAAACATTTTTAATGATTGTGCTTTTAAATCAGTATGGAAACAGGCCAATATTGTTTATGCCAGAGGACAACGTTTTAGATTCATTTAGAGATCAGTTTGAGGACATGCTCAGAAGCAACATAAACTTCACACATATAAAATTAAAAATCCCGTGGTCTAGTCACTTTATCAGTAGCTATGCTGGCTTTGCTATTGCCACTATTAAAGCCAATGCCCCATCTTGCCTTATCTACATTGGTCTCAGTGTAAACAAGTACTTCATACCTATAATATGTGTGCAGCCTCATAAAATACATCTGTTGTATGAGGACTGTGAAAGCTGCCGTTCCCTGGCCAGAGTAATGCCCTAGGGGAACATTGAATGTCCATTCCGGGGTGTTTATTACTTCCTGGGGAATAGATAACTTTCCAGTAAATGGTTTTTACATTTATTGGGAACATTACCCGATTGCAAGTGACAGGTGTTTGCAATCATTCTGAAAAATAATGTTTTACAATTTGCATTTGTGCCCACCAGATTTTTTTCAGCATAAATGTCAGTTTCTTTACTACTGCATCTTGTTTTAAAAACCGAAAAGGGGAATAGACCCTCTACAGTAATTTAGAAAAAGTCAGCAGTGGTTAAATGTTATGATGTGCTGTTCCCTTTTGCACTGCATTCTCATTCACTATGAAGCTAGGGCCGGACCAGACTTAGAGGGTAGACAGTTTAATTTCCCAGTGCATCATGTATGACAAATGTTACTGAAAAATTGATAGACTATCCAGGGCAGAAGGTCGATTTGATTTTGACTGTGATTTCATGTGAAAATGACCATGTGTCTATCTACGCTAGGAGTAAGAATGACGGATATATGAGCCTTGACTGAAGTATGGATTATTTATTTTAGCCCTTTTCTACATACCATATCATATTCTAAATTGCACTGAAGAAGAGATTAATTTCAAATTAACATGTTGCACATATTATCATTCAAGAGCAGCTCATTGCACTCCAGGTTAAAAGGTTCAGAATAAATATAAATTGTTTGATTGGCTGAATGTTTTTGTTGTTTTTTTTTTGTGAAATGGGCATCCATATTATGCTAGGAATAGAATTATGTTAGAATGATGTATATATGAACTCTAACATCGGTACAAATAATTTTTGTATCTATTTCTCTTTATACCAATACACTGCAATATAATGAGTTGCTCTAAGGAAAGATTTATTCAGAATTAATGCATTGCATATTATCCTATCCAAGAGCAGTTGACGACACTTCTACAACTTGGGGAAAGCATGGTTGTAGTCCATAAACAGGAGTATATAATTGGTGGCAATGAGACTTACTGGACAGAGGTTCAGTAACTGATGAGAGTAAAGAGTTGTGTCAACACTGATGAAGTGGGCACTAGTATGGCCTCTCTGGTCACAATATTTCCTCTTAGCAGGTCCCTGAAGCTGTTTTTTAATATATTTGGTCCACCCAATACCTTTAATCTGGCAATAATCATACATTGATTTCACGTAGGGTTCAAGTGCACATGTGCTTCATCTTTCATCTGTTTTATTTCAATTCAGCTCTCCATAGACTTGATAGAACTGGCCACCTACCAAATGTAATTCACTAAGCTTTCACTATGATAGGACTGACGGTGTAAAAAGCTGTCCAGAGTGAACAGACCATTGAGAAAAGCAATAGAGCATGTTGTTCCCTTAATCTGCCACCCTAAATAGCCATATACCATTCTATCACATTGTGTACACTAAATACAGCCACAAAATGAGCACTTTGCTTACAGAAATGTTCATTTAACAATATGGATTCCTAATTGGTACACTTAGGCCTTCTTCTCCATATTTAGGCCAAATGAGTTTTCTTAGTTTACAAAAAAAAAATTGATCAGGATTTTCACGCAGTTGGACTATCTGTCCATTTTACAACTTGCAGCAGCTGGGGAAAGGTATATATGTTCCAACTTCTTTTACAGGTGATCTGTTGGGTAAAAGTGACCCTGTGCTGAAAGAGTCAGTTTATGATGATCTTTGACCCACTAGCATGCCAGTTAAAATGTCAGGACAAGTAAAGCTAAATATGAGGAGAAATAATCCCTTCATAGCAGGGCCAGATCCTCCTCAGGGCAACCTAAGCAGGAGACTAGAGCCTAGTGAATGTCCTGGGGACCCAGTTACAACCTTTACCCTCCAGCAGTAAAGCAGGGATATTGCAGTCGGTGTATGGGGTTCCCTTGCTTGTCACCTCATACAATACTTGTTAATGCCTGGTGGGCAAGGGCCATGCTATTACAGACCATGCAAAGGGAATGGCCGCCCTATCCTGATTGCATTCCCTAATGTCAATGGAGGGGAAGGGGGGCCAAAGCTGCTACTTTGCCTGGGGCCCCATTGTGCTTTAATTTGCTTCTGCATCATAGGCAAGCCTACAGAGATAAAGAATGAAAATTCAAATTCTTGCTACAACCCAGATGTGACAAGTTCACTTTATGCCAGAACTGGTCACTATATGAGACCTGTGGAGTTGTTAGACATTTCTTACTGAATCCAAGGAGAAAATGAAATCATTTACTGGCTGGAATAGGGCATACTTTGAATTTTACTGTTAAACTATTATTGCTTTTTAATCAGTTCCTTGTTTTATTTTCATTGTTTTGCCAGGTTAGAAAACAAGGATTATGATTTTACCTCAAAAATCAATATATGTAATATGAAATATCCATCTGTATTATAAGCAATTGCACTTTGTGTCCCATAAAAATAGTTTATATTTTCTGAGACTATACATTTGCCTTACATGCATATAGACAGATATTTTTGAATATTGTTCAATGTCTTTAATTGGTCATATCAAACTGCCTGTATGTGAGACTATGACATTTTATGTTGTTCTCTGTGAATCTTTGTGCACTGAATCATGTAACAAAACATGGCTGCCAGTTGACTTTTTTACTTGCAAAAGCATGTGCTGCTGGCCCCAAATGGCAAAAATTAAAACGTTAACATGTATTTGTGTATTATTTTCCATTCACTAAATGACCTAAAATAAGTTATTGTTCAAAACCTCTTTGGACAGACTGACATCATTTTCCCCAAATACTCATTTTAGGCCACTGCACAATCATTTAACTGGTGCTCAGGGACCATGTTTAATGAAGAAACAAAAACATTTTTGAATCCTATACTGTTGTACATTGTGGCATTACCAGAATGTATATATGTAGACTGTTAAAATTTCTGCTTGCTCCACTTTAAGCAGAACTGACACCATCTTTTACTGAAACCTAAAAGGCAAGATATAAACAAAGCATGTTTGTTATAGTCACTGTGGAACCTAAGGGGTTAATCCTCTGCATTGTATAAAAATGCTGTTTGATCCTGAATTCTCGGATCCTCCCCTTCTTCCAGTGCCCACCTCTTATCTCCTGATAAGACATATTGTGTGAAGTCACTCTGCCCATGCTCAGTTTGGTGTATATGGCTAGAGAGGTTTTTTTTTTTTTTTGGGGGGGGGGGGAGTGCATGTGATCAGCACAGGACCAATCATCACTATCCAGACAGAGGTCAGGGAGCCGGCATCTTCCAAGAGCAGAATGAAAACTCCTTCTACAAGCTTTAACTAGTGCTCGACTGAACACTGATAGAAGTCACAAGACTGCTCTAACCACTGATGAGAAAGGGTATTTAGAAGTTTATATTTAATAAAATTAATTTGCCGGCGTATAAGACGACTGGGCGTATAAGACGACCCCCCTATGTTCTGCTAAAATGTAGTGTTTGGGCTATACTCGCCGAGACTACCAATGCACACCAGTAGGGAGGAATAGCGCCCCATCATTGATGTCAGTGGGAGGGTGCCCCATCATTGGTGTCAGTGAGAGGAATAGTGCCCCCTCATTGATGTCAGTGGGAGGAATAGTGCCCCATCATTTATCAGTGGGAGGATAGTGCCCCATCATTGGTATCAAAAGGTGCCCCTTCAATCAGTGGCGGGAAAAGGTTTCAGTAAATGTGCCCCATCATTATCCCTAGTGCCCCATCCCAGTTATGCATCAGGAGGGGGTGATTTTATAGTCCTTCTGGTAAAATCCTGACCCTGTTCAGTACGGTGCCGCAGCCAGCTGAGAGATCTCAGGTCTCAGGAGAACATGCTCACTGGATCCAGGTAAGAGACGTCAGCCCCTGCAAACCCCTGTAAACGCATAACAATATTGCGACTTTTGATTTTCAAGGGTCGTCTTTGCAAATACGGTAGTAGTTTCTGTGTACACTTTGAAAGGGTTCTGGGTTTAGTAAACATAGTGAAGTCAGCGGAAAAAGGTTTGGTACTTACCCTACCCCCCTGCACAGGATATTTTATAGACCTTGTAAAATCCTCACATGAGGATTCAGTCTATGAACATGCTCCAGCACAGAAAAACAGCATCAAACTGAAAGGGTCTTTGCATGAGTCACACTTTAATGTAGAGAACATAGGAGTAGGGGCCCTGATATAATAAGCAGACCTTGATTTCATGTCTGGCCAACACCATGTAATAAAA